ATTAGAGTTGGACTTGGGGTACACACTTTTTGTGTACACACTTTGTACACATGTCTGTGTAAGGTTTTTTTATGTCCTTACAGACATAACGTATTTTAAAAAATACGTTATGTCTGTACAGACATAAAAAAACCTTACACAGACATGTGTAAAAAGTGTGTACACAAAAAAGTGTGTACCTTTTTAATTTTTTGAGTTATTAATGTCATGCCTTGACTTGTGACAGTTAGTGCAGTATCTATTCTGGTCCCAATATTTCATGTCACGTCATATACAAAGTGTTGTATTCTATATATCCATTTGATATGATCACCTTTTGAAACTTAGCCGTCACCTATTTTTGCTATGTGCTTCATAGGAATTTAGCTTATCTTTTGAGGTGATAGGGCATCCTAGCTTGGGATAGCCTACATTTTTGTCCTTATGTATATGTTGTACAAAACTACTTTGGATGATTCTATATATAATTACCTAGGATGAAAAGATATTTCGGTAGTGTACCCAGATTTAAAGAAATTCGGAGTACCAAAGTAATTTAGAGTTTTTTTCGAATTAATGTTAATTAATTAATTAATTACGAAAATAATGTTGGAAAAAAAATATTTACCGATCTACTGTTGGGTTTAACCATGGTCAGGGAAAGTCGCCCAACGGTTGGTCGACTTATAAGTCGCCAAACGGTTTGGCGACTTATAAGTCACCCAACCGTTCGGCGACTTTCCCCTTCCATATGAACGCAAACCAACAGCTACAGCCACGCACGATCGTGCCTGCACGGGTAGGCACGATCGTTCCTAATTTCGAAAACAAAATTTCATCAGTTTTTTTGCCCCAGTTCAACCCAAACTCATCTTTTTGCTATAAATAAGGTCTCCTTTCTCCTGTTTAAGTGTTACGAGCCAGATACAACACATTATAAAACATACAACACACTTGTTCACAAACACATACATAAACACATACAACACACTGATAAAACACAGTACAATCATCAAACATTCATAACAATTAATCATCTAATATTCATACTCGAACACATAAATACAACATACAAGAGAAAATACGTAAAATGTTGTAAATTGTTCCTACAACATCTAAAATGTTGTAAATTATCTAAAATGTTGTACAAGAAAAACTGCAATACAAATGACAAAGTAGAAGTTGTCATGGTCATCTTGATCACTCGGCCTAGGATCCGCTGTCACAAGCATACCTACAAACAAACAAAATCGTATTAGTTAATTTTTACTATTATTCTATTTCTTTTTTTAATCATCCATTTTATTAATTAATATGTTTTCATGCAACGCTGAGATGAACTGTGAATTACTATAATTAACACCTTACCCACTGGACCCCCCATCGTGTCTTGATGATCTCTTCGCACATGTGGCCCTATTATGGCTGGTTTGGTGGCATTTTCCACATCTAACCGTTCCTCGGGGACCTTCATCCATCTCATTCTTAATACGTGTCGACTTAGGTCTTTCCTTAGCCCGAAGCATGGATGGATCGTGCACGATTTCAGGTCCATTGTAAGTAGGCCAATAATCACGATCAGGAATGGGTTTGAAGACTCTATGATATGTGGCCACGTATTAGTCAGATGAGAAAAACTTATCCACAAATGGAGCATAAGACAAGCTACGTTGTCTGCACACGGCTAACACATGGGAGCATGGAATCTTATATATCTCCATCTATTTACAAGTGCAAGTTTTCCGTTTCAGATGGACAGATTGTTTTCTCCCACCCTTCCCCAACGTTCGGCCACCACAACCGGTTTCCACTTGATATAACCCTCGGCCTAAATCAAATGGAGTAACTATGTGATGCTTGGCCTTCTCTCTATTCTTATCAATTAAATCTGTGATATATGGGGAGTACTCGTGGCCTTCTGACACTCTCAACTTACTGGTTTCACGCCTATTAACAAAATAAGCATTAACCCGGTAAAAGGAAACCTGGACCAAAGCGGTGATGGGCAAATATCTAGCATTTTTCATCACGCTATTGAAAACCTCTGCCAGATTAGAAGTGATGGTACCGTATCTGTACCCGCCATCGTGGTGCAATGACCACATTTCCGGGGGAATGTTCCCCAGAAATTGTCGTGCCTCCAAACTCATTTCACCTATCTTCTTGAACCCACCATCAAACTTCTTTTTCTGATGTTGCCATGCGGTCCAGACAAAAAGATTTTTTAGATGAATGTCTTTGAAATGAGTGTGGACATTCGATGCAAGATGGCGGATACATAGCCTATGATGCGCATAAGGCTCCTCCCAAGTACTGCCCACCACATTCATTGCCCTGACAATACCTCCATGCCGATCAGAAATGACACACAACTCCCGATTAGTGACAAACTGCCTAATACGGGTCGACAATGCTTAAAACCATGTATTGATGGCTTGAATGCCCAAAAAACTCTTTGAAACTGCATATAACCTGTGGGAGTATTAGGGGGTGGGTACCACTGCACAATAGTTCCGGGATTTGAATGTTGGAGCGCTGTCATGAAATGGGGCAATTCAAAATATGACTTCTCCCAACCGCCAAATATTTCTGCTATGGCCTTTTGCTTCCCCATCCATGTTCTCTGGTATGATACCGTATACCCATACTTTTCCTTCAGCATCTCAATGATAGTATACACTTTAAGGGAAGGATCAGTGCAAACAATGTCAATCACATCTTTAAAGATGAAATCTGAAGTCAAAGCCACGTGATCGGTAGTGTCGGTGTTCCCAACACACGTAGCAGAATGAGGTCCAGGATAACACACAATTGTGAAGGTGTCAAGGTTGCCTTTGTTCTTTGTGGCGCGTATTCTCCAGGGGCAATTACATTCTTTCTTCCTTTTGCATTGTGCCACCCATTTGTGTTTATCGGACTCTATCACCCGAAAAACTTGGTTCCGTTTGATAGAATACAAGCTCACCATATTGATGACTTGTTCTTTGTTGTCAAACTGTTGACCGACCTCAAACTCACCTTCGGGGGTAAACCTTTTCTCACTTGATCCACTCAGCCACGCATCAATAAAGCCTCCAGGGAGATCATACATTCTAGTAAAGTGGGTAGACGGGGCAGTTGCCGTGACCGTATCACCATCATCTTCATCAGATTCTGTCATATGTTCACCATTGATGTTGTCGTCAGCATCATCATCACTTTCCTGCCCATCCACAAATGATGCACTGTTGTGCAAATACCTACCATCTTCCTGTATAACCATGTCCAGTACAGGAGCATTTGAGGAGTTCCCAGCATTCACACCTGCATTGACATAATGCCTAGATACAACAACATTTGATGTTGATGGAGTACCATAAGCGTCACATATGGATTCCTCAATGTATATCTCAAGCATTGACATGTCCTCCATCTGAACTATGCCCCACATATTTGTTATAGCTAGCTCATCAGTGAGGGGCATAAGCATGTACTTTCCCCCGTTCATGGGAAATTTCATTTTCAAACGCAAAGAACGGCTAGGATGAATCATTGTGGCTGTATGTATTTTTTGAAGGATCTCGAGCATGCAAGCACCACGACAAACCATGACAAATGTGGTTGTACCACCTTCATGGCATATTTGCCCAACATCCTCATAATAGTTCCCTCCCCAATGACACACGATTGGGAAGCTTGAGAAATCCATATTCTAATAACAATTCAAATATTTCCAAAAGTCAAGATTCACAAACAACTCACATTTCAATATGAAAATACCCAAATTTTGATATCTACATTCAAGTCTACATTTCAATACCCAAATTTAGCTACATTCAAATCCACCCAAATGCCCAAATGTTAAAATACACTTTAAAATTTACAATCAATTTCAAATCAAATTTCAACATTTCATACATATCCACATTTCACAACAACTCAATTCACAATCAATTCATAATCTAAAAATTCGAAAATTTTAACATTCAAAACCCTAAGTTAAAAATGAGATGAAATGGAGTTTGATTTACCTACAAGAAAGAAGAAAGAGTGTTGAAGATGAAGATGGAGGTTTGCCGGAGTGGGGTCGCCGGATATGGAAGTTCGTCGGAGTTGGAAATGGCTCGGTCGTCGTTTGTCCTTCGTCCTTCGTAGCTGCTGCTTGGGGGATTTGGGGATTGGGTTTCGTTCGCAGTGTTCTGTTTTGTGGTTGGTCGTTGGGCGACTTATAAGTCGCCAAACCGTTTGGCGACTTATAAGTCGCCCAACCGTTGGGCGACTTACCCCCGACCACGGTTAACCCAGCAGTATATTGGTAAATACTTTTTAACTCAACCCTATTTTCGTAATTAATTAATTAATTAACATTAATTAGAAAAAAAAAGCTCAGTAATTTAGATGTTAATTCAAATGATTCGTCAAAATGAAGATATGGATCAAGTAAAACTTAGCTCTCAACAAGCGAGAGAAAGACTTCTTGGGGGAGAACTATATATAGTGTATGTTTATGCAAGAATAAACTAATCTAAAATTGAAACGGGAATCGAACAAATATGAATTGATAATGGGCTAATTATAAATGAAAAGAGAATAAAAACATGAACTGAATATACATTGGAATGCTTCGAATAGCTTTGAGTTTGAGTACAAAATGTGACATCGCACCCGGGTGTACTTGAATTTGAAAATTCAACATGTATTTGAATATCCTAGCAAATAAAACTGTGCAACAGAATGATTTATTTAAATAATGTGTGATTAATTAAATTATTTATCGAGTCCATAATATTGAGAATGGACTACCAAATATTTAGTTGGGTCATCGTAATAATTATAGAAGCCCAATAATATGCCAACTAAAGTTGAGAAAAACGTTTGGGCAACCCGAGTGCTATTTTGACCCAACCTGCCAGAAATAGCAGGAATAATTAGGAGGGACTACCTACACCCACTTGGGGTATTCTACACAATAATTAGACTCAAATAATAAGGGAGGGGGACCACACAAGTTAGCTTGTGCGGATGATTGAGAGGAGAAGTCTCCTAGAGACAAACTCACACCCCATGTCCCTATTCCCATACATTATTGGGAGGTTGATTGAAAAGACATCTTTCATCCACCTTCTTGCACTCATTCGCCCAGCCATAGAGGGGAAGATCTCAAGGATAAGCTCTCACAAAAATCAGTATTGGAGGAATGAAGAAGGAAGGGAAGCTTAAGGGAAAAATAGGTAGACGAAAGGTAAGAACTTAAATAGTTCTCTTTAGCTAGTTTTTATTGTGTATGATTTTTAAGAAATCATATGGTGGATTAAACCATGATTTATACATGTTTAAAAGTGTAGAATATTGATATAAAGTGGTGGTATTTAACTTACAAGAGTTGTGGAATCGATAGGAGTCGAAACCGCCGGAAAACCGCCATTGTTGGGGACTGTTTTTGAGCTGCAGGCCCGAAAGCCGCCCACCTTTTACAAAAGCCGCCCGGCTTTTAGCTGCTGTCAAGATTTTTCGTTTTCAATCGGGCCTAGAACGGGCATTGATCGAAGGGCTTAGCAAGGCAACTATTGTAGCACATCACAAGGTGAGGATGGCTGACTATATTGCTTATAATTAGTGAGTTAATTTCATAAGATTACCTAAGGTAATTAAATGTGATTTTCATGGATCATTAATGATTAATAATGCCTAAATGAAAATACTATTGACATGAGTAAGTGAAGTATGATATACAAATTTAGAATAAATTGTGTATGATTATGTGATATGAAAGTGATGGCATGATGATGGGATTAACTATGAAATGTTGTGATAAAATATACTTTTACGTCATGTAAGGAATTCATGAATGGATAAAAGTGATATTTTTGATATTGGGATTAAATCATATTTAGATTGGAAAATCAATTGAGATGAATTATTTGGCTATGAATTAAGAACTTGGTTGTTCTAAGATTATCCGACTAGTATTGAAATACTAGTCGTGAGATTAATATAAATAAATGATGGAATTAATCCTAAGAGATAGGATTGTGAATAGAGATGCCTTAAGTAGTCTTAAGAGATACTTTAAGGTCGAATTGTACGAACACTAAGGTGTGTTAGGGGTAGGCCTAAAGGCTATCCAAGTGAATTGATTCTAGGCATAGGATTTGCTTGAGAATTGGACTATGAAAATAAATTAGAGTCGGACTCTAGGATTGCATGGAAACGTAGTTGGGCCGAGCCCTTGCCATAAAATTTTGACGTGTTGAATTGAGTTAAAGGATTGTATAGAAATGTAGTTGGGCCGAGCCCTTTCTATACAATCGGGGCTCGATGGAACCCTATGGGGTTGTCATGGCTTGGGGTAACTGGGAATGAAAATGATGAATTCTAAGTGAACATGGGCTCACGGGCCGACTACTTGACTTTATATAAAGTAAGTATAATTTTTAATAAAGGGGTAACCGAGGGTTATGGCCTATAATATAATATAATATCACCCTAGATCAGGGTCTTAGAAGTTGAAACATTGATTATATTCAGTGTAGTTGTCATTGTACTTTTCAAATGATTCAAAGTACTGACCTCCCCTTCACGGGGGAGGCCACCTCACAGTTTCAGGTAGAAGTTGAAGCTTGCTACCGGTGCCCGTTGCTTCGGGGATATCTAGGAGAGAAGATGTGATTCGTGCTTCCTCCGTTTCTGTTTTGAAAACAATTATATAAATGCTCATGGATATTATTTTCTAAATAATTAGTTGGGGGCTTGTATGCCTAATGATGCTAAGTGTGGCTTGAACACTTGTATTAATGTTTCCGCTGCTTTAAATGAATATTTTACATTATGTTTGTTTATGGATGTACTACGTGTGAATGATATTCAAGTGTATAGTATAGATGAGTTGGACTGCAGTTGACTATTCGTACTGTACGGCGGGTTGTTGACCTGTCCGGATAGGTCCGGGGCGTGACACAAAATTATATGGCTAGTTGTTCGTAATGAAGGTGTTTCTATCCTTCCACTAGGTAATCTATTTATTAAATTAAATATGCTTCTTCCCCAAGTTTAGCTGATATCTCCATTTTCTTCTCCACTATCAACTGCCTTGGTCTTATGCCATGTTTATTTGTTTGACTTCGTAATTAGTCGTGCAATTGGTCTTCAAATAGACCAGGCCTTGTTCGCTTACCCATGCCAATGGGTTTTGCCCTTGCTGTTATTGAGCCTCTGCGGAATATAAGCCCAAGATGTCAAGTAAATTTCCGGATCCAACAGTATACAGATGATGATTCCGTTAATTAATACTTTGTATCCAATATGTTGGACGCCTGGATGGGACGAAACAAAAAAGGTTGAGCTTTGAGAGGTGAGAGAGCAGGGCAACCCTAAACCCACCCATTCCCTTTAATGATATTTGTTTTTGAAAAGTCCTCATTTACTCAACTTATTTCTTCGAATTTCTATTGTTTTATATAGTAAAACTGGGTTGTGAAATGTTAATGTGTCATCTTCTAATTGGTTAATATAATAATAAATATTTAACAGCACTTTCATGATAATTTATTAACACTGCGTAATTCCTTAGAGGAAAATAAGCACGGCCATCTGTGTTGGGGCTCTTTTCTAGCAAACTTACTTAATTCATATGCGGTACATGACATTTAATCTTGCAATTTTCTTTTCCTCTCCATGGCTCTTATTCATTTCATAACAAACGATACATAAATACATTCAGAAAATGTTTACTTCACAGGTTACTAAATAGTACGTATTAAGACATGCGTTAATAAGCGGCGCGTAAAATAAGCACTGATATAAGCTCATGTTTACTTCACAGAATTAAAACATTGCTTCACATTAAAATGTCCAAAATAACCATATACATATAATATAATACGTGGGGGCCACCCCGTACGCATACACATATCCCTAAACCCTACCCCACCTTACCCACCATACCCCGAAATCCAACCCTACCCCTAACGGGACCCTACCCCTACTCCCCTTCCACCCCCATACGCGTACCGATACCCCTGCTCCCTAACCCCTACCCCTAACCCCTACTTAACCCTTACCTCGTAGGCTCGTACCCACGATTCCAACCCTACACCCTACGCCTACGCACCTCTAACCCCTAACCCCTAACCCTTGCCTACCCCTACCACGACCATACCCTACCTACCCACTTGTATCATATCTTGTGTTTACCCCGACCCTTGGGTATATTGGGGTAGGGGTAGGGGGTTAATGGGTGGGGTTAGAGGTACGAGCCTACTAGTCGGGGTAGGGGTTTATGGGTTAACGGTACGGCTATGACTACGAGGTAAGGGGTAAGGGGATAGTTGTACATGGTCGGCTGGGGTATGGGGTTCGGGGGTCAGGTGAGGTAGGGGTTTATGGGAGTCGAGGTAGGGTTGAGGTAGGGGAAGGTGGTAGCTGTAAAGAAGGATGGGAAGGGGTAGGGGCATGTGTAATACCCCAAAAAATTGAGAGAATTTGGGAAATAATTAAAATTGTGTTTCGTATAATTTAGATGGTCTCTAGATAGTTTATTATGGTTGATTTAGTGTTTGGTACCAAGGGGAGATCCAAGGGGGGGGGGGGGGGGGGGCAAAGACTAAGGTTTGGGACGCCTGGGAAATCCGCTCGGCGTGCAGGAAACATCCGCTCGGCGTGCGGACTTTATTTTTTTACCAAGGTTCTGCCATGTCCGCTCGGCGTGTGGGCAACATCCGCTCAGCGTGCGTACCCTGTTATATCCTAATTCGACGCAAACTTCAGAAATTCACTATAAATACATGCCTAATCTAATTTTCCTAATTCCAAAAACCCTAGGACCTCCTCTTCATCCTCTATCTTTTCTAGCTCTTCAATATTAACATATCCAACACAATTTTTGAGTCTAAGAACGTGATTAAACAATCATTCTTACGGTTAGTGCGTTTGTTGCCTAAATCGTATCGTTCTTCGTTTTCTTTGTATTCTCTCTCCTAAATTATGATCCTTTGACCCTATAACTTCCTAGGGACGTGCCAGTGACCTCTCAAGCTAGATTTGACGTTTCGGATTCGTTCCTAGCCTCGATGTAAGGACTATTGCAACCAAAATTTCTATTTTACCCCTATTATGTATTACTTAGGGTTTGCGCTATGATTTGAGTTTCTTTCTAAAATTTTATGGATGTTTCGGCTATTATAGTATTGATATGATAATGTATGATTTATGGGAATTTTTGAAAATATGATATATGGTTAATATATCGAATTAATTTGCTATGGTCAAAATTGTGATTTTTGTGAAATAATTATTTTGGATTGGAAAATTGTGAAAATTGTTTTAGTATGAATTGAATTATGTTGTGAACATATTTTATACTCTACTTTGAGAATATATTCTGGGTTTGGAATATCCTAATTGGTGGTGATCATGAATGCTATTTTTGGAAAGTGTCGTATAAATCTTTTGCCAAAATTGCAATCAACGATTTCTGAATACTTTGAGCACCTGAGAGTAATCCATGGTTTTTGGCTCTACATCCGGTTAAATGTAAAATTGTGGTATAGGGTAGGGCTACTACTATTTTGTGATTGGTTTTCTCTTGGATTGATTTTGGTTTTGAGCACCCGGTACTAATTCGTGGTGTCGGCCGGTTTCTACATCCGAATAAATGTGGGATTTTAATTTGCTTCGGCTTGTGTGGTAGTAGTAGCCCCTATTCCACTTTTATAGGATTCGTCCTTTCTTGGGTAGTCTGTAGAAACTTATCCCGACTATCTGGGCTTCTTACTGCTCGGAGGGCTTGGAATCCCTTTTAGAGGGTGCTCACACTTAAGGTAGAGGTTCATATTCCAATTGGTGGTTTGGGTGGGGTCCGGGTTTATCAGGCGGTTCATAGGTGACCTCAGCAGCTTGTGAATCCGTCCGGGACACCTGGGGTGATGCGTGGTAATTGGTGACCTCGTAATCGCTTGGTTTGGGATCTCTTTTTGGGAGATCCCCAATCTTTAAAACAATCTAGGAAATATTAGTTGAAATAAATTTTGGTGGATTATTATAGAATATATTTTATGGTGGGTCGGTAATCACCCCCAACAACTTTGAGCTTTAATTATACGATCGTATATTTTTGGGAACTTGTATTTTTGGGAAGTTATATTTTGGAAGGTTATACATTCTTGGAAAACTATTCTAAATAGTTATGTTTTTGGAGACATATATTCTTGGAAAGCTGTATCTTTGGAAAATTATATTTTTGGTGTGATATATTCTTGAAAATCTATTTTTGGAAAATTATTTTTTTGGAAGGTGATATTTTGGAATGTGATATTTTGGAACATGAAAACTGTGGAATGTAGTACTTTGGAATCTAGTATGGTGGTAGTGATATTTTACTTTTATGTGAAGACGTGATTATATGGAATTACTTAAATCTTCTAATTTAATTGTTATTTTAACTGCAAATGTTATTTTTGGAAATATGTATTTTAGGATCAAATAAGAACAATGCTTAACGTGAGAATGTGACACTACAAAAAAATTCGCTTGTAGTCACGGACCGTAGTCACGGATTTGGTCCGTGACTAGTTAGGCACGGTTCTAATCACGGTTTAGTCACGGAACGTTTAAAAAAAATAGTCACGGATTTGGTCGTGACTACGTCCGTGACTATAGGTAGTCACGGACCTAGTCCGTGACTAAAGTGTTCCGGCCAACCCATTTTCGCCTCCGGCGGGATTTTTTTTAAATTTGAAATTAGTCAGGGACGTATCCGTGACTAGTTCCGTGACTAGTGCAAAATTGGTTTTTTCAACGTTCCAAATTTAAAGTGCACCGACAATTCGTACAAAAAAAGTGTAGTCACGGACACATCCGTGGCTAAGTCCGTGACTACAAGTTTTATATATGCAGCCTACGCTTCATTCAACAAAATCACACCATCTACTGCAGATAGAATTACAGATAGAATTGAAGGATATAATTTACCCATCTCATATCATTTTTCTTGTTTATGCAGATAAGGTATGTAATTTGAATTACGTATTTTTTGTAAATTAGTTAAATATGTAAATTAGTTAAATACATATGTAAGTATATTATTAAATATAATATTGGCAATACATATGTTATTAATTTTAAAATATAGGGTTAAAATTACGTAAATTAGTTAAATACGTATGTAAGTATATATGATTAAATATAATTTAAATGCATATTATTAATATTAGTTAAATGTAAGTATTATTTAATTCAAATGACTTTAATTATATATATATATATGATTAAATATAAGTATATGATTTCTTTATATTGGCAATTATTGTTAATTAAGGCGGCCTAATTTAGGATTAATAATGATTTAAATTAGGGTTAGTTAATTTAATTTAAATGTGTTTATTATATATATATGCTCAAATTATTGGATTTGCTCATATTATATAATTTAGTAAATTGTTAAATGTGCATTATTAATAAGATTAAGATGTTGATAATTTTAGTATTGTGGATTAAATTAATGCCATTAACGTATTGTGCATGTTTATAGTTTAATAATATTAATTATTGGACGTTAGTTAATTTTAAGGGAATTTTAGTGAATTTTAGTGAATTTTAGTGAAATTTTAGGCAATTAGTTAATTTTAAGGGAATTGGTTAATTTTAAGGGAATTTTAGGGTATTAGTTAATTTTAAGTGAATTTTAGTGAAATTTAAAGAAACTAGTTAATTTTAAGGGAATTTTAGGGAATTAGTTAATTTTAAGTGAATTTTAATCAAATTTAAGGAAACTAGTTAATTTTAAGGGAATTTTAGGGAATTTTAGGGAATTAGTTAATTTTAAGGGAATTTTAGTGAAATTTAGTGAAATTTAAGGAAATTAGTTAATTTTAAGGGAATTAGTTAATTTTAAGG